TCAGCAGGAGAGTGGAAGGCAAAGAGCAAAACAACTTTGAAGAAACAAACAGCAATTCTCAGAACTCCAGTGGTAAGTGTGTTCACTTCCTCCTGCTGTTGCTTCCCACCTGCCTCTCCAGTGCAGGATTCAGCTGTGATCAGTGGTTCTTTATCTGTTTGGGGTACCTTCCATAAGCAGCTTGTTTCCCTGGGATAGTGCCCTCTTCCCACTCCTGCCCAGGTTTCTGGCACTCCAGGGCTGTAAAAAAGGTGATATGGGGATCTCAAGGTCCAGGTACTTCAGCATAGATTTTTCAGTGGGGACCAAAGATGAAGGGAAAGGGGAATATGGATGTAGATGAAGCAGTACTTGTTCTTTGTGCATCAGTGAAGTCTTTGTGCAGCAAAATGGTTTGCAACAAGCAAGAGAAGTTTGAGAACTGTGAACTGAAGAGCTGTTTCCATTTTGCAGTGATGTTAAATTTGGCGGGTCATTTACATGTCACTGTGACCAGAGTCCAGCTGTTTCTGGGTTCACTGCATGAAGGTCACAGCAAACCAGATATGGATGTGGGACCAGAATACATGTGCTAGAAGGAATTAAAATTTACTCCACTGCTGGACTTTTCTTTAAGTCTATGTGGTAGTAGCTAACGCTGGCCTAGACAATTCTGCTTAGGTACACAATTTTCAGAGTTTCCTTTGCAAGACTGCTATCCTGCTGATGTATCCCCTGCCTTCAGTGGGACACTGCTGTTCTCTCATGCTCCCTAACTGGAGCATAACAGACAGGCCAGATGAAATGTTTTTTCAGCATCTGGATGCAGAGAGAAATAACATGCCAGCAGACCAGTCAGGAGTACCACAACATGTGGTGTTGGCAACACCACTAGCAGGAGTTGACAGGTAAGGGAAGGGGTTTCTCCTTGGAGGAGGTTGCACAGCATCTGTTGGGGTTTTTATGTCTGCCTCTGAAGCAAATAAAGTACTTTCTGGAACCATGTTAAAAAGGAATGAAGTGGTGTTGGAAAACCCACATGCAGTAGCAGAGTGGGCAGTAGCGAATGGGAGAAAAGTTGTTTGTTACTAAAATACTGTGTATTATGTTTTGGCAAATAATTCTGTACTAATCCAAATATTCACCACAATTACAGCTGTTCATTCGGGGACAGAAAAACCTAAAGAAAAGAGGTGTAAGCAGAATCCATCAGGTGAGCTTGTGTCTGTGTTTCAGGCCCTTGTACTTTTTAGGTCTGTTCCAGTTGGGTAGCAGCAGCCAGGAGTCCTTACGGACTGGCCAAGTCTGTCTTCAGTCAGCCCAACTGTTGGACGTGACACAAAACAGTGTAGTTCATTGACTGCCAGGAGTTACTAGCCTGACTTGCTGCTCTGGAAGTTGCCACTTGTCTCTCAGCAGGTCTGCTCCTCATGTCCTGTCTTTTGTGGGCAGTATGAGTGGTCTGTCTGAAGGGTTTCAAAGCCCTTTAAATGCCTGTCTTTAAATACCAATACACCATGTGGGTTCCTGATTCCTCTGGGCCTTTTGAAAGCAGCAGCCTTAGATTGTTCCTTTTTTATTCCTGCCAAGCCCAGCATGGCTTACAGAGCAGTGGTTGAATTATCTTCCTTCATATCAAATGGCTCCTCGTAAAGCCAAGAGAGCTGCAGAATGGAAAGTGAACCTCTAGCATGGGAGGGGTCCAGGAACTGACAAGAAGCACACACAATGAAGTATCTGTATTGAATAGTCCAAGACTCTACTTCTGTCTGAACTACTATTAAATACTGACCTATTGTTGCTGTGACTCATCTCACGGACTCTCCCTGCCATCTCCTTGTACCAGTTCACCCTGGAACACATCCTCCTGGATCTGTTTCTGTCTGAACTGCAATGCTTAAAGCACATGAGTAAATTCTCACAGTAAAAATTAAAACAAAGGCACAAAATCTTACAAATTGAGCCTTGAATTTCACATGATTTGCTGGTCGTACTTCACTGCGAGAAATGTTTCTGTCTGCACTACATGGATGGTCAGTTTGTTTTAGTGGCATAGTTTAGGGCCTGGCAGGCTGCAGGGGTGTTACAAAGTGCCCACCTGAACTTCTGTTTGAGCCAGGAAATTTGAGGAACTTGTGAGCTGCTCGGGACTAGTTTGAGGGGAGTTTGGCTCTGTTGGAAGCAGTTCTTTTCTGATTGGGCAGCTGACACACTCCTCAAAGCCAGACCTGTGCATGGGATTGTATAAACTTTTTACCCCATTCCCTTATCTAGCCTGCATCCTATTTTCTTCCTCAGCTTTCCCCCCTTGATTCCATCTTTGTGCTGCTTCTTTTGTGTCCCGTTCAATGCTCTTTTCCAGCTCTTGCACCAAGCCATTTCTTCTCTTTTATTACTCCTTGTTCTAAGGAGTCAGTCTGAATGTTCCCTTTGATAGCAGCCCAAGTGAGCATCACCATGTCACACTGGTGATGCTGGGAATGGCACTGGGAATGGCCATGGGAAGCGCCACAGGCATCTGTGTGCTTGGCTGTCCAAGCAGAGCTCTCAGGAATTTCCCTTTTAAAGAGCTGACAAGTCCCTGCCTCCCCATTTTCCTTCCTTCCTTCCTTCCATGGCTGTTTCAGTAGGTGGGATAAACTCCGTATGGCTCAGTGTTCACATGTGTGATATAAACTCCTGGGAGTAATTCTGGCATTGTTGGCTTATCCTCACTTGTGCTCCAGCTAGCAGATTTCACACAGGCAGGGAAGCAGCTGGTGATAATGTGGTTGAGAATGACAGCAGGACAGACACTTCCATCCTCCCCACTTCCATCTGCTACTTACCACCAAACTCCTGCTGCTGTAAGGAACAGTCGCCAGGTTTGGGAGGTAAATGTAGGTCCCAGGTGAGCAGCCTGAAAGCTGTATGACTTGGCCTGGTTAAATGCTTGATTCCCTGAACCACTTGTTCTGTGTGGATGTGAGTTTTGTGTCACAGGCTCAGTTACAGTGATATCAAAGAGACCAGCAGTGTTTTTTAGGCCACCCAGCTGGGTACATTGTGCTTTTCCTTGTGTCACCATCCTGACTTGCAGTGCCACAGACCACTTTATGTCTGGAATGAGGGGAAGGACAAGCAGAGCAGAAAGGTCAGCAACTAAAGTCACCCAAAACAGGCTTTAACACATTGCTGTAGAGAGTCCTAAGTGGGAGTAAGACACCTAGAAAGCCAAATGTTGGTTTTCAGATGTCTCTTGTGCACAGCCCCAGTCCTTGTCATAGTGAATACCTGGGATCCTCATCTGGGGAACCTGGCATCTTGCTGCCCATGAACCAGCAGCAGTTCCTGCTCTGCACAGCAAACACTACTTCATGGCAGCATTTGAGTCCACCTACTAGCAGCAAGTCCTTTTCCCAGCAGGCCATGATGGAGCCTCTAAGTGGATGTAGAAGCACTGTCTAGCTGCTGTCCACCTCCTGATGAAGAGTGTCCTTGGTATTAATGGGAAAGAGTTTTTTTTGAAAGAGTTTCCACATGGAAAGTTTTCCAAGAAGTTTCACAGTGCTTTAAAAATAAAACCCACTCAAATGAGCAAAATGCTTCCTTGGACTGTTTCTGGAGTGCAGGCAGCCAACACAAAGGTGCTAAGGCTCATGAAGCTTGTGATTATTCACTGCTGAACTAACTAAGGTCCAGAAAACAGTGACATCCCCTGGCTGTGAAAGATGGAATGGGCTCGTTGCGGTGGGTAAGCTGCTCATCGTCTGAGATGTCGTAAAGCTGCTTTTCAAGAAAGCACTCCTTGGTGGTGGTCGTTCTGTTGGGTCTTGACATGTGCAGGTTTTTCAGTAGTAAATACCAAAAAATATTTGAAGTCCAGCTTGTGAAAAAGTCGTCTTGCAAAAGCTAGAGATGATGAGCCTGAGCATGGGAAGGAAAAAGGGGTAAATGTGTGTGTTGTGCTGAGGGGCAGGTTTGCTGCCTGCCCCTTCCACTGCGCGCTGCCGGGGCAGGCAGAGCAGCCTTGGACAGGGACTCTGCAGTGGGACAGTGTAACCACAGACCTGTCTCTTCCCAGGCTTTTCAATCTCTCTCTTGTCTCACTTTTTATCTGACTGAGGAAAGTCTCAGGGGCAACAACCAGCTCTCACTCAGTGTTCACAGCATGGTCCAGCCTCAGGCTGCTGTTTTGGACACTGTGAATGACTCCTAAGTGAAATGAATTTGCGGTTGTATCACCTGGAGACCAAGAGGGTTGAAGGAGAAATTGTGAGATTTTAACAAGAAAAAAAAAAACACAGCTAAAAAAAAGGGGGGGGGGAGGAAAGTACTGTAGTTTAATACCTTAGAATACAGCCATCAAAAGAAAAAACTAATTGAAATTGACAGTAGTTATTGATGTCTAAACTTGCTAGATGTTATGAATGTGAAAAACAACATTCAAAATTATGTAGGGAATTGGGAAGTATTTTAACTTTCAAGGTTGATCTAAGCTGCATAAATATGTCTCAATTTCACCTGCTGCATTAGGTAACTGTTACTGTCATAAGTTCCTGTGGAACGAATTCTGGCATTTACAGGTTTTAAAACGTCAGAGCTTTTAATTCGTATTTATACAGGGAAGCTTTTCTTTCCTTTCATACTGGGTAGAGGGGCAAGGGAAAGATCTTTTTTTCAGTCAGTTCATGCCAAGTTAAGGTGAGATTGAGACAAAAAAGTTTATTTCCTCCTATTGATATAGAAGTAAAGATTTTTAGAGAAGACTGAGAAAGGTCGGTTCTCAAAATTTAAAGGACATTCGAAGGACTAAACTTGAAACGAACACTTAGTGGGATTTTAGAAGTGGCAAATCTGTTAGTCATTTCCTGATCATATATCTGCTGTATTTCTTTTTAGTGAATCGGTTCTAAGTGCAAAGCTTTTGTCAGTAGTATTTTTTATTTTGTCAGTGTATTTTTTATTTTTCTATGTGCACAGCACACTTAAGATAGTTATATCTAGCTAGTGAAAATGTACCATATATTATGGATCCTAATTCCCATCCAGTTGTAGCATGGAACTTCTTGAAGCAGAAGGAAAAATAGAAATGTTTCATTCACTACTTGCCACATCAAACATTTTTATTGTGTGTTGAGCAGGGTGATCTCTCAAAGAGAACCAGTTAGTATGTCTCTTGCTTCCCAGCTGAGCAGAACTAACCTTTAGTTTTATGGACGGCAGTAAAAAGGCAGAGTGCAAATCAGCATGAAACTATAAATCTCTTCTGAAGCGCTTTTTTTTTTTGTGGTGATGGGAGCAGACATGATGGCTGCTTGAGGTGTCCATGAAACTTCTGTTGCAGAGTCAGTGCGGTTCCTGCTCTTGCCTTTACAGTGCCAGGTCCTGTAGTGCACCCAAACAGAACAGAAGGTCAGACTGAGACACCCAGTGGTGGCTACTGACAAACTTCTGGGACGAAAGAAATTGCATTCTGATGTTGAGACTTGTCAGCATTACTGTGTGTTCATGAGACTTGAGGGGATGAGAGAGTCCTGCTGAGGGCAACAAAGATGATTGGGGGATTGGAGCATCTCTCCTAGGAGGAAAGGCTGAGAGAGCTGGGACTCTAGCCTGGAAAAGACAAGGCTGAGGGGAGACCTTATCAATGCCTATTCATCTATCTAAAGGGTGGGTGCAGGGAGAATGGAGCCAGACTCTTTTCAGTAGTTCCTAGTGATAGGATGAGAGGCAGCAGGCAGAAGCTGGAACATGGAAAGTTCCATTTAAATATGGGAAAAAACTTCTGTACTAGGAGTGACAGAGCACTGAACAGGCTGCCCAGGGAGGTTGTGGAGTCCCCTTCTCTGGTGATACTCCAAACCCACCTGGATGCAGCCCTGTGGAATGTGCTTTGGGTGATCATGCTTTAGCAGAGGAGTTGGACAAGGTGATCTCTAGAGGTCCCTTCTAACTCTTGACAGTTCTGTGATTATGTGATGGGTGATCTCACTAAAGAGAAAGGATGTTCAGGTCCTCAAACTGCCAGCTAGTCCAAAACAAGCTGGTTTGTGCTGAAAGTGCAGGTGATCATAGTACACATATGGGAGCAATCTCCTAGGTGTGTTACAGGCATTGGGTTCTTCCTCCTCTGCACTTGTTGGCCATACATCCTCTTCTGCTCTTTTTAAGTAGTCCGGTGATCATAAGGGACATGCAGTTCTTGTTGGATTTATTCTGGGAAGACATGACCTAGGCTAGAATTTCTGTGAATGCAGCTTGAATGCAGCTTGAATGCTTGGGGCATAATAATTCTTGATTGTTGGTTGCAGTCTGCCATTAGCACACCAGCCACATACATCTCTGCCTCCTAGGACACACCCCGCAGTCTTGCAGGTCATGTCAGCTGGATTGAAGATCAAAACACAAATCTCATTCAAGTGGTTAATTTTTGGTAATCCTTTCTCTGATCCATTGGTTAGTTTGCAAATGGTACAAGCCTGCTACTGTTGGTGACCAGGTCTGAGGAGTGAGGAAAGAGGGAGGTTGTCATTGTGTCAGATTCTACATTGTCATAACTAAGCTGTGCAGAGCACCAGTCACCCAGACCAAGGGGTAACAAAATTGCACATGCATAGAGCTGCGTTTTCCAAAGCAGCCTAAAAATGATGTGCCCAGATGAAGGATTTACCATCTGAGTGCAATTCTTATCATGACGAGAAGAGTCAAGGGGAGAGGGAGTGACAATAAAGTGTCACTTTGCTCCATCATGTAAATATGAGTTGCTGTGTCCAGTGGGCATTTGTGTGGAGCTGAGGTTTCCAGGAATGAACTGGTCATTTCTGGTGCCACATTTATTTAAGTTGTTTCAGACTTGTCATGTTGAGCAGGCAACTTGTAGACAGGAAGAAATCTGAAATAATCTGAGTTAAAATAACCACTCAGCAGCAGGTCTCTGTGGGTGAAATCCTGTTGATTGCTCAGGAGCTTTGGGACACCAAGAAGGACATCGAGACAATACATATGAAAGACATGGAGGTAAGACTGTGAGCAGTCAGCAAAATTTGGAACAAATAGCCAGTGGTATGAGCTGTGGATTGCAGTCTTCAAGCACAGATACTGTGCTGGGCTGAGGCTGGACAGTACATGGCAAAAAGGGTGACTGATAGACCAATAAACAGACAGAAAAAGGTGAACCCCTCCTTCAGTTTTGCCTTGAGAATCTGTGGAGTGAAAGATAAGCAGCTGCCTAAAACAAAATTACCATTAGTCCTTCCAACTAGGACACTTCCATAAACGTTCTCTGAGTAGTTGCCTTTAGTGGAGCTGCCTATGCTGAGGCAGGGACATTACAGTGCATGGATAACAAAATGTCCCATAAAGTAAAGACCAGAAAAACCCCAACAGTCTCTCTTCACTTAGAATACCACGGTGACAATGCTTAGCAAGTGCCCTGAACTGTTGCAGCCTGGCTGTTGTTTTCAATGGGTATAGGAAGTCAAGTATAATGTGGAGACTAGGTTAGCACTTTTGGCTGGAAAGCAGGCAGAGAGTATATTGGGAATTCATTGTGGTGTGTTAAGTGGGGCATGCCGCTGCTGTGTGCCTCTTCCAGAGCAAGGTGACTTCTGGGGGGATGGTAAAATGTCAAAATCTTACTTGCTGCTGGGGTGCTGAATGGGCTCTTTAAAGCCTGAAGCCTTGGGACAGTCCAGTGAGCCTCCATGTGTTCACTAAGGACACTTCCCAGAGCAGAGGCAGAGAGCACGGATAGTGAAGGAATGGTACCTGGAGGTCCCTGCCCCCTTCAGCTGCTTAGTAGGACCAGATTAAGAACCTGTTTCAGTGCAGATCTTCCTCCAGATACAGACCTCATCAGCTGCAAATAACACTCTTAGGGCAACATTGGGAAATAGCCATCAGCAGCATTCCTTATCCTGCCTGTGCCTTCCATGCATACCCTTTCCATAGCATTTGTGTCTTTGCCAAGTATAATCCATGCCTTCAGCTTCATTCCTTGCTGGCTGGCTCTGCCAGTTGAAGCCCTGTCTTACTGAAGTTTTCCTTACAAGAAAACCAGTCCAAGAGTATCAACCCTGAGAGCCTCACTCACCAATGCTTTAATTCAGAACTTTGGACCTGGGGCCATTCTGTAAATGCCTTAAATTGACTGAATGTTTGACACGAATAGTTTCTTCCCCTCTGCAGGGGTTTGACACTAAAGCATCTCACCTGAAAACGGTAGGAAACTGCGCAGGGTCTGAGGTGCTGAGAATCCCTCCTTCTGCTCCAGTGCACTGCAGGGTGAATGCAGATGGATCCTGCCAGTTAAGAGAGCTACTGGAGGAAAAAAAACAACAGTGAAAGGAAAATTGGTTTCATCCTGGCTCAAACCAGGACACCCCTGGTTGACCAAGGGCTCATTGGACATCCAGGGTTTCCATTCTTTTCAGACACACCTTGAAGAGAGCTGTGCTTGACAGCAAATGTGTGTTCTCAGCCTGAAGTAACATTCATTACTTAGGAACTCTCCTTTGGCAAACCTTTCAGTCAGGCTAAAACACCCCATTTTTCCTGCCCAGCTTCAGTTTAAGGAAGCTCCCTGGTGAATCTGGGGCCTTGCATCTGGGGCTCCAAAAAAACATATTTATAAAGGGTTTTTGTCCCCTTAGCTTTTTTTTCTGCTGGCCCTCCACACTTGACTTTTTCCATTACTGTTGCATAGGGTGTATGTTAAAATCTCTGGACATTTCAGAATGGGAAGGAAAGATGCAGATGAGATGCTGTGAGAAGCTTGGCAAGACACCGAGAGAAAATTCATGGCTGGACATTTCGTAATTGGTGGTAAATGGAAACCCTCATCCTGACCCAGTTAAATCTGGAAGTGCAGGGATCAGTGAGCAGATAGGCAGAGCTGTGTAACATGCAGCCAGGTCTCTGCCAGTCTCAATATTTAAATCTCTTTCTTTTTTGCAGAAGCAGCAAGTCCCCTGATTTCAAATCCTTTCCCGCTTTTACAAAGTAAGTGTGTCTGTGGTGCACAGTGGCAGGGACTTCCACCCTGCAGCCCTGCTGCCCTGCCCTCTTAGCATTTTTCATGAATAAATGGGTTGGTTTTTTTTATTATGAGTCTGGATGTCAAAACCAAAATGCCTTCCTTCTGTGGTTCTGGCTTCAGATTTAAATGCAGAAGAAATCCTTCAGGGAGTTTCTGTGTAGTATATTTGGCTGCTGGACCATTTAGACTCACAGGCTTCTGGGAGTTAAGTTTTGTGAAATAGGCCAATAATTCATGTTCTGAGGAACCAAGGATTGAAGACTGAAACTGACTCCATGTTTAAGTTACATTTATGCACAGGAAAAGTTGTCTTCATGGCTCAGCTCACTAAACACCTTTGCAGAGATGATTCCCTTTTGCCCTGAGAGCACAGGTGAGAAGTGGGAGCCCAGGCCATGGTGGTGAGCAAGCCAGAGGGGAAGGAGAGCAGGTTTGGGTGGGCAGAGGCAGGTGTGGTCTCTGCTTGAGGTTCTGCCCCATGTCCTTGATGCTTTCAGCAGGCGGATCTTTGTCCTCGCAGTGTGTGTAGTTCCTGCTTGCCTTGTGTCAGGACTCTAGGGGTGATACTGTCTGTGCCAGCCTTTAACCCAGGGCTCCTGTCCCCGGGTGCTGCACCCTGAGCATGGCCATGGGGCAGAGGACACTTGTTCTTTCTCAGTTTAAAAACCTGAGAAAGAAGAGTGAGCTTTATTCAGAACGTGAGAGTTACACTGGAAGTGAAGTGAAATCAGCACTAACCAGTTTACCATTGTGGTGCTTTCAGGACTCCCCTTTTTTAAAGCCTGCTTCATAGCATCTCATCTGTTGTCTGAAATGGAGGAAGTGAAAAATCCTTTTTTCAAGAAACTTCCATTTATTTTGGTGTTTGATGGTGTTTTTCTAGGAGACTGCAGAGTCAAACCTCCTGTTTCATTGCTTTGTGTCAAGGATAGGAGAAGATGCAGTTACACTGTTACTAAAGCTAAAGCCAATGGAAACACTGGACGAAAAGCCGAGAAGTTTCTCTTACAGTTCTGCATTTGTTTCTCATCAGGATGTGAACAGAAGTGTTGAAATGTGGGTCCTTTCTGGTGAGAGATCTGCCTGGGGCTGCTCCCTGCGCTGCCATCAGTCGTGCTGGCTGCTGGGTTTCCCTCCTGCACAAGCAGCTCAGTGCGTTTTCTTTCTGTTGAAACTTTCTGTTAATAGCTCACAACTCATGTTTGCTCCTGGCCTCAAACCAGGCTCTGCTCTTTGGTCTGGCTTAGATGTGGCAATGAGACTTAACATGGGAATTAGGGTGATTTATTTAACCTTAGCACAAGTGCTGTTTTTTCTAATCTTGGCTTACACAGCCTGATGCCTTACTCTGCAGCCTTGTTCACTGGGTATATATAAAGCTCTTATAAAAGTGTCTAATAATAGGCCTGGGGAAAGATGTTGTAAATTGGGCAACCAACTGTGAATGTTAGTACTTTGTGGCTCAAGAGACTGAAGAGGCTTCAGCAGCTGCTGGTGCATTAGATTTCTGAAAAGGTGTTTTCAGGGAGTAACTGGACAACCCAGTAAGGTTGCCCTCGACTAAATGTGACCAGTAGCATGTCTTGTTTGGAGCAGAGAGAGACCTGGCTCACAAAGCAGCTTCATTTTTTGGAGGGAGGAGGAGTGCTTTGCGCTCAGCAGCCAGCACCCGGTGCACCACAGAATAATGTCTCTTCTTTTTGAGGCAGAAAGCTCTTTAGTGCCTGACAGGAGATTGAAATGCCATAGCCTGGGGTTGCTGCAGTGCTCAAATTTCAGCCTGAGCTTGCAGGAGGCTGCTGGCAGTGCCCTGGGACACCTGTTGGCAGTTCCAGCAGCACCACCTGCTTGCAGCAGGTTTGTTTGTGCTCCCCATTACATTGTGGGAAAACTCTGGAATGAGAGTCAAACTCCACTGAGATCTGCTGACTCTAGAGCAGCCCTTTTCCTCTAGCAGACAGGACACATTCAGAGTGATTTCCTTCTCCTTCCAGATTTTCAAATATTTTGCTTCTGAAGATCTGTGCAGAGTCAGGATCCTGATCAGCATAATCCTTGTGTTGCTGCAGGGAGGGTAGCTCTGCCCTTCAGAGAGAGGCATCTCCAAGTGCTGGGATCTGCTCCTCTGCATGGCAGACAGTGGAGGGAGCAGGTAGCACAGCACAAGAGAACAACCTTCTGGGTCTGTGCCATGAGCTCTGAGTGGAGAGGACAGGCAGTGAGGAAGGAGGCATGGGAGGAGGAGGTGGGTGGTGACAGTGGGTGAACAGACAGTAGGGACAGGCACAGTCACTGTGCAGCCAGTCACCTGTCAGATGCTGGATGTTGTACCCTCTCCCTGCCTTCTCAGGTGCTGTGAGGACAGTCTGACCCACACAACATTTGCCATTTCATGTGCAGACTTTCTGCTGCCAAATTTAGGCTACAGGATTGTGGAAGGCTTCTGAACATACAGCAGCACAGAGGCAGGGACACAGCAGGGCTAAGGTGGCAGCCTGAACGCTCTGAGTGTCCAGTTTATGATTTCTTATCCTTTTGTGAAGACTAATGCTTGTTTCCACCTCTTCTGCAAAAAAGCTTCTTATGTTTAGGTCAGCCATGTGGCAGAACGTGGAGGACAGGAGATGACCAGAGCCTTGCTTTGCAAGGCCCCAGACACAGCAGAATGTGTCAGTGGTCAGACAGAGCCATTTCCCTGGTGCTTTCCCTGGCTCTCCAGCTTTTCCTGCTACTGCAGGAAAGTGTGTTGTAGCTGTGAATGAATATGAACCCGTGGGAGAGCTTGAGATGTGTCCCAAGGCCTGCAAAACGTGCAGCATCTGTGCCTGCCACCCCAGCTTTGTGGCTCAAGACTTGGCTGTGTGACAAGCTTGTTTTCTGGAGGTGGCCAGAGGAACAACAGCAGCCTGGCCTTTCTTCTGAGACATCTAGCCAAGTGTGAGAATGCTGGGGTACAATCTAGAGGTGTATGTGGCAAGATTTTAATGGCTTATTTGCTAATGTGAAGTTTTTGTGGGCTGCACTAGGGGCAGCCAGTGGTAGCGAGGCTCCTTCCTGCTGCTTGCAGACTGCAGGACTTTGTGCCCAGGTCACAGCTTGGTCAACTGAGCATGAGCAACCAAAGCCTAGGATTTCAGCCTGTAAAGGGTGAGTGCTCTGAGAACAACCTCACTGAGCTCTCTGCCTGTCTCCTTCCACCTTTCATGGCTGTGTCAGGTGAGCTTTAGGCTGTTCTTGCACCCTCCCTTCCCATCACCTGGCTGCTAGAGGTTGAGCAGCAGTTACTGGGAGTGAGCTGTGGAAACAAGAGGGAAAGCTTCTGCATCCTGGTGAATTTATCCTCCACTCCCTTGAGGTTCAGGTGTGAAGGAAGGTTGTGTGAGTGCAGCAGCCCTGCATGCCCACTGGGACTTGGTTCGGTCTTGGGATGGTGTAGCCAACATCCTGCCTCAGTCGAGGAGGGCTCAGGGTGCTGGGAGCTGTGGTGGCGGGAGGCAGCTGGAGGCCCAGCCTGCAGCCTGAGCAAGCCAAGTGCACAACAAGAGACTATCTGGAACCAGGGTGTGTTCAGCATTTGCCCAGGAGAATGCAAACAGAGGAAGCTTGGAGAGAGCAGAGCACCCTCCTCCCCAGCCCACACCAAGGGAACTGAACTGGGAAGTCCACAGCACCTGGCAGTGCTAAGAAGCCCATGGACCTAAGTGAGACCCAGGAGACTGGCTGAACACGTGGGGTAAATGTGGGGTTTTTTCCTTATCAAAAGTGGGTACTGAGGCTCCCGCCACAATTCCCACTGCCTCAGATGTAGAGCAGGAAAAGGAATTGGTTCCTGAGAAGCAATGAATGGTTTGAGGTGAGGGAGAAGGTTTCTAGTAGCAGGAGACAGGCTGCCTGCACAGTCCTGCATCAGGTTTGAAACTGAGCTGGCTGCACAGCTGCTTTTCCTGCTCTGCTTGTACCTGAGGCCTCTCTTGGCCACCCAGAACAATTGAGTCCATTGGGGAGCACAAGTGTCCTTGAGAGGCATGGTGCAGACAGCACAAATGGGTCCCAGCTTTCCTTGTACCACCACCAGCAAAGCCAAGAGGGAAAGGAGGGGTTTTATGATTGGAGCAGTCATGGGAGGACCTGTGGGCCCCTTGCTAAGTTCAGACCACCTGGTGGAGAACAGATCCTTGCTGGATGCTGTAAACCTCAGTCTGAGCAGGAAGATGAGAGCTGAAATTCTCCATGGGGATAGGAAACCAGAGGTCAGGACCTCAGTGGAGGGGGCTGTGCTCCCAGGAAGGAGAAGGGGGCACAGGTGTGGCTCACAGGGGTATTCAGAGCAGTTTTGACAACTTTCCTGTTTAACTCTGCTTTTAAGCAGAAATCCAAGGCAGAGCTGATTTACTTGCTGCGTGTACCAGCCCAGATGGGCAGTTCTTTTAGATTGTCTTTTTTTCCCCACCTTCCAGATCCCTCTCCCTCTTCTAGCACTGATGCGCCCAACATTCAGCTTGGCTGTTCTCAGCTTTCTGCTCTGTGGAGCAAAAGGGGCTTTGAAGCTGAAATCTCAGAAGTATGTGGGTTGGGAAAGCCCTGGGAAGTAAAGCAAGTTCCTTCATTCCCATGAGAATTCTGTGCATCCTCCTGAGCATCCCTTCCCTTCTCCCTGGGAAAGACTTTTGAATTGTTGTATGAATCTAAATTTTATCCCTAGTTTTAACTTTATTTTTCTTCATTTGCGGCAAACTGTAGACTTATATGATTCTTTGTCTCAGAGTTATTTAGCAAATGTTTTTGCATTTTCAGAATACAAAATTACTTCTTGAAATTGGGCAGTGTTTTTCTTCAGAGGTGCACTTTTCTGTAGTAGGGCAGATGGGAAGGCTTTTGGAAATGGGATGAAAACCATTCTAAGAATCACAAATGAGAGATCTTTCAGAGTCACTGGGTGCACTGAATACACAAGATGTTGTAGTGGCAGAGGGAGGAGCTTGGGATGAAAACTGTGGAGATCTTTATGGCCACTGCATGATGGATGGGAATGGGGAAAACCCAGAAAAGACTGGTCAGGAGTGAAGTCAGGCAAGGGGAGAGCTAGAGGAAAGGCAGCACAGCTTGATGGTGATGAAATAGCTGAAATTGTAAGAGGAGAAAGGTAAACAGATCAGTGAGACAAAATAAGCTGAAATGGAAACGTGGGGATGTAGTGAAACGGAGGAAAAATGAATGTGAGAGATGTGCTGCTTGGAGAGCGCTGGGTGTAGGTGCTAGTGGAGTGTGGGGAAGAGTTGTTCTGGTGTCTACTTGGAAACCTGCTTCTGGGGAAGTTGTGGAGAGTCTGTACTTGTCTGGGAGCAGAGGAGTCCTTGGACTGCAGCAGTGAAGGATGGATTGTACTGCTTTCTCTGGCCAAGATTACTGCAGGCAGAGATGGCAGAAGGGAATGTATGTGTTTGATTCTGGTTAAATGACATTCATGTGACCCTTTTGAGACCGCTCCCAAGTGGCAGAGACTATGTTTGACATTGTTATTTATTGCAGGTTTGTACAAAGCTGTGTGCTCGTTGCCTTCCTACAAATCAGGCACACCAAACCAGGGTTTTCATTACATATTTATGCACAAAGCTATAGAGTTAGTAAGTTTCTAGTCCAGCCACCCTATAGTGATTGGTGAGTGATTTACATATGGTTACATCACTGTTCCTGCTATCATGCATGCTCAGGGGAAGGGTCTTCACCTGGAAAAGGCTCTTTTTTACCTGGGGGTGTAATTTTTATTATTATAATGACATTTTAATGAGCCAAGTTGACCTAAAGGAGGCAGTATTGCAACTTCTACAGCTTGATGTGCCCAAGACTGGTTTAGCCATCAGTCTTCTTGATTCTGGTTCTCCTTTATCTCACCCCCTGCATTCCTTAGGTCCAATTATCTGTATAGACCTCAAATCTTCTCTGCCAAGTTGGTGATTTACAAGACACTCTTTAAACCTCTTGATTAACTGCCTTCTTCAAGGCCTGGTTATTGCAGGATGTCCTCGCTGGCTGTGGCAGTAACTGTGTGTCTCTCTGACTGCAATTTTAACTTGTATATATATATAGAGCACATCTTACACAAAATAACCACATTATTCTAAATTTCTGAGTTATTTTTTCCAACACATGGAGACCTGAAATTATCCCAGGGAGCTGCAATGTGACATCTCTGAATTCCAGACTTTCTGAAGCACCTAAGATGTTCAGCCAGTTCTGTTCTCCCGACTCTGTTGTAGGAGAAGGGGCTCCAGCAAAGCAATGGGGTAAACTTTGTAAGTTGCCCTGCCTGCAGCACTGGAGCTCTTCAACCCCTGCCAGGAACCTGTCAGCAACATTCAGCAGGCTCTTTGAAGTGTGGCTTCTTTCATTAGATTGATCAAAAGTTCATTTTGGCACTTGAAGGAGGAGTCAGCCCCTTAGTTACTGAGACATTTCCATCTGAGCAGTCTGGGCTCCACAAGCAGCAGAAGCAGATAAGTGCATCTGTAACACAAGGCATCTGATATTGAAATGTATGTCAAAGAGGGATGGTTTGCACCCATGTGGGTTCTTCTGATAATAACAAAAGGATTATAAACAACTAGATTACATTGTACGTCTTACGGCATTTTTCCACAACTGACTATTTTGCTACTGATGATTTTACCAGTAACAGCCAGTCCATGTTAATTCTCCCAGTCCTGAACTGCCTGAGTGTGCCACTCAGCTGCCAAAATCTTTCCTTTTTTTTTCACAAGCACTGTTACTTAAGTACAGTATTTCCAAACTTCCTTGCTATGCCAAAACAAAGGAGTAGCATCACAAGAATACAGGAAGTATTAAAGTTAAATAAAGCCCTGAGCACAACTGTTCCAGATGGAGCCAGCTCTGCCATTCCAGAGGGCTGGAGGTTCTGTGAGGAAGACATAGATGGATGTTTAACCTCACTGCTGTAAGTACAGATCACTTTTGTGTTTTTCCTTGCAGCTTCCTGTAGCCATCTGATGGATTCTGGGTTTTGCTACCTGAGATAGACATCTTGCAGATTATAGACAAGTCAGGCTTGTGCCTTCCTGGTTCTTCCATCCTGGGTGCTGGTGCTTTTGCTTATGTACAATAGATTTCTTAAGTTTCTCTGGTGCAGAATATGTATTTCCCTTCAAAGGTAGATAGAGATTTCTGGTAAGTTGCAGCAATAGGCCTTCCTCTCTGTGTGCCAGGCATTGATATGCAAAGTTGTTTATATACCAAATGCTTGCATTTGTCCATGCTGCTGTTACAGAACAAAATGCCACAGCATAAACAGTGGCAGCATGGTGGTGTATCTGGAATTCCAGAAGCAATCTGAATGTTAACATATTTCAGCCACTCTAGTTTGATACTACGTCTCTCAACTAATGCACTCAACTAATACTGTTTAAATGAGCAACTGCAAACATTTGCTGTTAATTCAGTGGAAAAAATGCACTTCAAACATACTTGTTAGAACAGAACTTAACGCATCTCTCATCTCCTGAGGGAGCTCTGCGCCCAGCTCTTTCCTGACTCCAGCTCATCCGTATTACTCTGGCAACATGGCTCTCCTGTTCTGCTCTCAGCCTTCTGGCACAGCTCTGATTTCTGTGCTTCTTCCCCTCCACCTCTGCTTAACCCCAGTGACTTGCTGCCCCTGAGCACAGTGGCACTCTGAGTCTCACTGCACTTGCTGACAGCCGCGAAAGAACGCAAGCTGAGTTCTCCCGGGCACTTCTCCATGCCCCGACTTCTGAGCACCAGGATTTTTCACAGCCTGATACTTCTTGTCTTACTCAGGAAAGGCAGCAGAGACTGGAATTTGACAGAACTGGATGTAAAATGAACTTACCAGGCCTTGCTTTCAGGCTTAGAAAGAGCAAGGAACAGCTTAAAGCAGCCTCTGCAGGAGATGTGAACTAGTGAACCTAGTTGGTCTCAAACCCTTGTGCAGAGTCACTGACATCCCACCCAGGTGCTGGCAGGTGCTTTACTTCAGTGCACCAGCTGTCCCTCTGCCACCTCTGCCTTCTTCTGGCAGTGAAGTGAAGCAGGTGGATAAATATCTGACCCCAGCCCAGGAAGCAGTGACGTGCCCCAACACATTCCCAACTCACAGCCCAAGCCCTCTGGGTTCATCCTGAGGAGCTGCTGTCACCTGCACACGTGGGCTGAGGTGACGAGGACCGTGCCCTAAGGTGCTTCCCCACTGCTGTACAAACTGAAGTATGCACGTGTGATGCTTCCCTGCATACTCTGTATAATTCTTCTGAACTGATTTCTCCCAAACAGAGCCTTACACCTGTGGAGCTTGTGGAATCCAGTTCCAGTTTTATAACAATCTCCTGGAGCACATGCAGTCCCACGCAGGTAAGCTGGGCACTTCGACTCGCTTAAAGCGGAGAATTAAATTCTGCACTGATGCCTGGTGCTGACCCCTTGTGTGGCAACAGGGCTTCTGTGCTCATGGCTTCCAAAGCCCCAGTCATTTCACCTGCAGCAAAAAAATCCTCAAAGGCTGAAAGACATAATAGTGGTTGCAACAGTGCAAGGCTCAGGGTGTATCATAAATATTAGTCCTTGCCATAGGAAGGGAGGAAACATGCCATGCTAGCACAGAGCACATCCAACTGCTCATTCCGTTTATCCAAAAGTATCTAGGGAATGCTCAGTGCATAAGCCTTAATGGGTCACTCCTATGGCCCACTGAATCCCTTCTCTTGCAGAAAGAGTAGTTCTCCTTGAAGCAAACAAAGCAAAAATTCTTGCAGGGCAGCAGAGCCTTTGCCTACACAAGTCCTTTTCTGTGCATTCGCCTCCTGGAGTTCTGCAAGGGACTGAAATGTGCTCTCAGAAGAGGAATTTGCCATTTCATCAGTTGTATTCATTTCCTTCTCAGCTAACTTCAAAAGAAAATTCTGAGGAGTAGTTCCACTACTTTGTTTCTAAGCCACCTTTTATGTTTTCTATCTCAATACAAAACAGACGATTTGAAAATGTCAAAGCCCAAGCTGTTTCACAGGTAGCCTTCAGAATATTCAGACATTTAGAAAAAGGATTTTTTTTTCTATTGGCAAAATTTTTTTCTTTTTTTTTCCTCTCAACACCAGTGAGTTAACACATATTTACAAATTAATTCACCTCAACAGACCTGTGTTCTCCAACAGAGAGCTGCTCTTTTGAGATGTATGTTCAGTGCTTGCATTTGCCCTCACTTTGCAGGTAAGCCCTGAGTAGAGTGGCACGGAAGGACAAGTGGCTTGAGGAGAAGCATATTTTCCATTCTGTAACAATAATGCTCATCAAAGTTCTTATCTTGTTCTGTGATTTAGTTTCAGTCCTTACTTTAATTGCTGTCCCTGAAGTTCTTCATTGATTCAGTTCCTCAGTTCTAGTTCAGTTCTCATTGGTGAATTTTAGTGCAGGCTTTGTGTGATGTTCAGCAGCCACTTTATTTGTCATCTTTGTCATGTTATGAATAGACACTTAGGCTGGTTTCTTACAAAATGTGTGAGTTTTGTGGATATTATTTTCTGTTGGAGCATAAGCTGGTTCATGTGGAGTAGTTGGGCCAATGTCACACCGTTGGGTAGTGAAGCTGCACACAGGGCTGTGGCTGCTGTCACTCCGTGCTGCTGGGGCTGCTCTTGCTGGCTGTCAGTGGCAGTTTCTGCTGGGGCTCCTCTTGCTGGCTGTCAGTGGCAATTTCTACTGGCCTCCAAGCTGCCTCCTCACTGTCCTGTTCCTCGTTCTGGTCTCTGGTACTGAAATGCAGCATTTTGAATTGCATCTCTTGGTGACACTGAGAGGAGGGGCCAAGGCTAAGGCCACTGTAGAACATGTTAAGCTGGTCCTGTCTGCACTTTCTTCCTTGTCTTTTCTTTACAAATGGCCCATGGCCTCTGGGCTTGGGGTACTTTGGGGTGCACTTGGGATACTTTGAACACAGCAGAGGACTGGAGAGAGCAGGTATTGGTGATCTGACTCATGTAATGTCAGCAGAGATCCCCTTTCTCCAGCTCAGGATTACTCCTGTAAAACTCCCTATTTTCTCATCTCTCCCAGCTCTGTTACAGTCACTGTCTTTGCTTGGCTGCTTCCCCCACAGTGTCTCACCGCTGCATTGCAGCAAGCTTGTTCGTGTCTCCTGTAAGTGCTTTCTCCAGGTGTCACCAAGGCTGTCCCCTTTGTGGCATCTCAATACACAGTGCTCATACCTCTTCCCCTGGAGGGAGCAGCAGCCTTTCCTCCAGGGTGTGCAGCCTGGGGCAGCACGGTGTGTGCTGCTGTGGGCTGAGGGCAATGGACGTGAAGAGGTGTGAGAGCTGCAGCCGGCTGGCTGGTGTCTGGTCTGGGTATTGTACTGAAGCAGAGCAACAGTGGAGGTTACACAGAACTCACAGTTTGTTGCCTTTTAGCCTGTCAGAACTTGTGGATTTCCATATCCAAGGAACAGCATCTCTAAAGTCTGGGGGTGCAGAGACTGTCACCGTTTGACTCAGGTCCGACAACAATGCTCTCGATCCCCTCCCCCCCCCACCCACACAGGGAAGGAGAGAGAGAAAAAGAGAGAGACTTGGTTGGATTGAAAACTAAACCACACAGCTTTAATTAAAACACTAATGAATCATACAAGAAAATATATACAATTATATACAGATATATTCAGGTATGGGCAAAAGCCTCTCGCCTCCCCCCACCCCAGCAACTCCCACAGCACTTCCCTGAACTGGGAAGAGTCCCGAGGAATCCCGGAGCTGCTGCTGGAGAAAGCAGAGAGTTATGGGGGTCAGGAGATCTCGAGCCTAAGGGTCGACGGTGATGGATGAACAGAGTCCTCCCTGGACGCCGGCCATGGACGGAAGAGAAGGGGGAAGAAGGAAGGAAGTTGTCTTCTGTGATCTCTGACCTTCCTTTGAGCTTACGTAGATATATGGAATGGAATATCTTTGGCCAATTTTGCTGTCTGTCTAACTCAGCCTCCTACGGGGGGGTCACAGATCTCCCCATAGTGTCTGAGCTGGCAGAGTGCAGGTGCAGCCTTGAAGCCTCAGTAGTTAGAAAAACATTCCACTGTCTTATCAGCCTAGCAGAACACACTGTTGCTAGTTACAAGAAAGCTTTCTGAAGAAAAAAAAATCAGTAAAAAGAAAAATTGGCTTCATCCTGGCTCAAACCAGGACAGAGACCTTGCAGTAGTCAGCAGAACTGGTGACACAGAGTACACGTACTGGGGACACTGGCTTAGCCATCTATACCAGCCCATCTGCCTGGCTCAGGGAATGCTCCTTTATGATGATGCAGAGATTCAGAAAGCCCATACGGGTCAAATACACTCTCAGTTCAGTCCAGTTTGGCTTCTCATGTCTGATGCAAAGGGCTAATCTCTTCTAACTAGATGTGATGCATCCACTGAGTCCCTCTCAGAAGTGACTGAAGACGGGGAACGTCCTGGTGGCCTCCAGGAGCAGGGACATGCTGACTCTTGAGTCATTCAGAGTGCTGAGCCTGTAGGCTGTAATAAGGAGAGATTATAGTTCCATAAAGCAGCTACACAATGAGAAGAAGCAATTAGAATGTAAATTGGAGGCTGAAAGGCAGAAATAGAGCAGCGGAACACCAGGCAAAGAAATTTGTTCTGTAATTACTCTGTACAATATACAGCTTTGACTCCCTTTAGAGTACTTTGTTAAGGTCGAGTGCTACCACATAATGCCCTTCCTACAATCTAGAGCTAAAAAACTGAAGGGCAACCAGGCTGAGCCTGGATTAAAGTATTGGAAGCATGAAGAGAAACTAAAGAACCATGATCTGTGTAGTTCCCAGACTGCTTGATAAGGGAGATGAGGCTGAAATGCACAAATCTCATTAATGCCATATTGAATGCCAGCAGATATTTGTACATAACAAGTAGGTAAGAGTTGGAGGGATGAAATCTAGAGGGTTTCTCTCCCTCTCCATCCCTCACCAGGACAAGAAAGGCCTGAACCATTAACAAAGTTAGGAGGTGGCTTCTGGCATTTTCCTTTGTCTACCCACAGATGTTTGGATCTGAGGACAGTGGTGGCATTATCTCAAGAGCAATTGGTCTA